GGCCGTGGTACTGAGAACTTGCCGCAGGGTTCTTCTACTTCCACAGCATGCACATTGGGAGCAGGTGATCCTTGACTGATGTGGGAGGCTGTCCTGTGCATTGTAGGGTGTTCAGCAACATCCCCGGCCTCTACCCAGTAGATTCCTTATTAAAGCTGATTTTTAAAAATGGCTGCACTACACCATGTTTATACAACAGCTTTTACATGTAACAACATGGTTTTTTTTTTTGAGACAGAGTCCTGCTCTGTCACCCAGGCTGGAGTGCAGTGGCACAATCTTGGCTCACTGCAACCTCCACCTCCCAGGTTCAAGCGATTATCTACCTCAGCCTCCAGGGTAGCTGGGATTACAGGCGCCAGCCACCACGCCTGGCTAATTTTTGTATTTTTAGTAGAGATGGGGTTTCATTGTGTTGGCCAGGCTCGTCTTGAATTCCTGACTTTAGATGATTTGCCTGCCTTGGCCTCCCAAAGTGTTGGGATTACAGGCGTGAGCCACCACACCCGGCAACAGCTTAATTTTTTGTTGTTGTTGTTTGGTTTTTGAAACAGAGTTTCACTTTGTTGCCGAGGCTGGAGTGCAGTGGTGCAATTTTGGCTCACTGTAACCTCTGCCTCCCAGATTCAAATGATTCTCCTGCCTCAGTCTCCTGAGTCACTGGGATTATAGTCACCTGCCACCATGCCTAGCTAATGTTGCTGTATTTTTAGTAGAGATAGGGTTTCACCATGTTGGCCACACTGGTCTTGAACTTCTGACCTCAGGTGATCCGCCCACCTCAGGCTCCTGAAGTGCTGGGATTACAGGCCTGACCCACCATGTCTGGACAGCAGCTTAATTTTTTAAGTTTTATTTTTTGGTGGGAAAGTCCTTTCTCCCTCCCCGCACTTCCAAATCAGATCTATGAGAAAACTAGTAATTAATTAGAAATAATCGCTAATTTGTTTGATAGGTTCAGAAAGTAGCCCAGCAGAGGTTTGAAGCCTATACACTAAAGAGCAGGTTGAGGGGTATTGATGAGCAGAAGCGCATTTAGGGGAAGATCAAGACAGGGAAGGGGCGTGGCCTGGCCATGGAAACAGTGAGTAAGGTTAGAGAAGACTCTAGATACGAGAACCAACCTTGCCAGTTTCAAAAATGGATTCTGGCCCCTAATAAATAAAAATCTTAATACCTTGAATGGCAGTTGTAGGGAAATAAGCAGCCTCAATATGAAGAAGTCAAGTACTTGTTAACCTCTGAAGGTGGAATTCAGCCACTTCTCACAGAAGGGTGAGACCTTCTGTCCTTCACCTAGCAGGGTTTGTAAGAGGGAGGGAGTGCTAGTTTTGGGGAAGAAGGTGTGAATTATCTTCATTTCAGCGTCAGTTATCTTAGTGTGTTTCTTCTTTGACTTTTTCCTCCATATTGGTGAGATCGAATGCTTCTTAATGACAGATACCCATGGCAGGGCACGTAAATTTCCTGTCCTTTTTTGATACCTGCACATAAACCTAAACAAGCTCTTTTGTTCCCCTTTTTGAAGAGGATATTGAGAAATACAACCTGCATTACACTATTAGATGTTGATAGGAGGTCACAAGAGGAGGATTAAGTTGTAAGAACCAGAGGTCTATCCTCCATTATAGGGAGCTTTCTCTGTGTAAGTCCATATATCATGAAGCATCAAGTATTTGGAATTTTGTATTTCAAACAAGTAAGCTGATGTTCAATTGCTGGTATATATGAAATTACTGTATAAACTGTCGTATAAGGCAGCAGTTTTCAAATATCTTCATTGAGATAGAGTTTACGTACCATGCGATTCACCCATTTAAAGTGTGCAGTTTAATGGTTTTCAGTGTGTTCAGACTTGCATCCTCACCACATTTGAGAACATGCCCTCAGCCCAAAAAGAAACCCTATATTGGCATCATTCTCCATCACCTCCCCTCCCAGCCCAGCCCTAAGTAACCACTAATCTGCTTTCTGTTTCTATGGATTTGCCTATTCTGGACATATTATATAACTGGAATCATACAGTGTTTGGTCTTTCGTGACTGGGAGATCATCACTGTAGCATGCTGTCAGCGCATCATTTGTCTGTCTAAATAATACTCCATTGTATAGGTCGCATTACATTGTGTTCATCCATTCCTCATTTGATGGACACCTGCATTGTTTCTACCACCTTTTTTTGGCTGTTAGGGCTAATGTTGCTGTGAACATTCCTGTACAAGATGTCTTTTCTCCGCCCCCGCCCCCTTTTTTTGAGACAAGAGTCATGCTCTGTCACCCAGGCTGGAGTGCAGTAATGCCATCTCGGCTCACTACAACCTCCACCTCCTGGGTTCAAGTGATTCTCATGCCTTAGCCTCCTGAGTAGCTGGGATTACGGGTACAAGCCACCACGCCTAGCTGATTTTTTAAATTTTTTAGTAGAGATGGGGTTTCACCATGTTGCCCAGGCTGGTCTTCAACTCCTGACCTTAAGTGATCTGCCCGATTCAGCCTCCTAAAGTGCTGAAGGTACAGGCGGGAGCCAACACTCCTGGCCCCTGTACGAGATTTTGTATGGGCCAGGTGGTGTGGCTCACGCCTGCAATCCCTACACTTTGGGAGGCCTGGGGGACAGGAGGATTGCTTAAGGCCAGGAATTTGAGATCAGCCTCGGCAGCATAGTGAGACCCCCATCTCTACAAAAATTTAAAAAATTAGCCAGGCATGGTGGCACATGCCAGCTACTCGGGAGGCTAGACTCAGGCAGAAGGATTGCTTGAACCGAGAGGTTGAGTTTACAGCGAGCCGTGATCATACCACTGCACTCCAGCCTTGATGACAGAGTGAGACCCTGTCTCGAAAAAAAAAAATTTTGTATGGACATATGTTTTTATTTCTCTTGTGTACATCTGGGAGTGGAATTGCTGAGTCATAATGCTGCTAACTAAACATTTTGAGAAACTGCTACAATTTTTAACCTGGAGAAATAGATATGCATGGTTCTCATCTGAATCGTCAAGGGGTAGGGCTGCTTGAGGAGAGATTTTTATAAAAAGCCTCCCCTCCTTGGTTAAGAACTACTTGTGTAGTGGATAGCATGTGGGATTTGGAGCCAGTGTATTTGGGTTCTATTCTTCAGCTCAGAGCCTTTTTTTCCCCTTTAAATTAGGAATAATGATGCTTAATCATAAATGATTGTCTGGAGGGCAAGAAATTATAATTTTGTTGAAAAATCCATTTCTGATAAAAAAAAAGCTGATTAGAAAAATACGGACTAGATGGATACTTTCTTTTTTTTTTTTTTTTTTTTTTTTTTTTTTTTTTTTTTTTTTTTTTGTGGGGGACGGAGTTTCGCTCTTGTTACCCAGGCTGGAGTGCAATGGTGCGATCTCGGCTCATCGCAACCTCCGCTTCCTGGGTTCAGGCAATTCTCCTGCCTCAGCCTCCTGAGTAGCTGGGATTACAGGCACGCACCACCATGCCCAGCTGATTTTTTGTATTTTTAATAGAGACGGGGTTTCACCATGTTGACCAGGATGGTCTTGATCTCTTAACCTTGTGATCCACCCGCCTCGGCCTCCCAAAGTGCTGGGATTACGGGCGTGAGCCACCGCGCCCGGCCTTAGATGGATACTTTCTTCACATGATAGAGAAAAATACAACTAAACCAAGAGCTGACATTTAAGAATGAAACCACTGGAAATAGTTCCATTGAATTCAGAACAAAAAAAAATGCCCATAAGCATTAATGACATTGGTCTTGTCCAGGTAGTATATGACACAAGTGTAGTAAATTGTAGCTCTGGGAAAGGACAGGTGATATTTGGAAACCATAGATTATGTTTGTAGAGAATAAACTGGAAAAGTACTAGAATTGATTGTTCGGTGAAACAGGGCTGATCCATACAGTTGCCCATTGCACAATGTGTCAGTTAGGGCACAGTCAAGTCCCATGTGTAATTTTTTTGTTTTGTTTGTTTGTGTAGCTTTTTGTTTTTTTGAGACAGAGTCTCACTCTGTTGCCCAGGCTTGAGTGCGATGGCGCGATCTCAGCTCGCTGCAGTCTCCGTCTCCTGGGTTCAAGCAGTTCTCCTGCCGCACCCTCCCAAGTAGCTGGGATTACAGGTGCCCACTACCATGCCTGGCTAATTTTTTTATTTTGTAGAGATAGAGTTTCACCATGTTGGCCAGGCTGGTCTCGAACTCCTGATCTCAGGTGATCTGCCCACCTTGGCCTCCCAAACTGCCGGCATTACAGGTGTGAGCCATTGCGCCCAGCCCCATGTACAATTTTTGACTCCCCGAAAACTTCACTGCTAATAACCTACCATTGACTGGAAGCCTTGCCAATAAATAGTTAACCCATATTTTGTATGTTGTACATGTTACATACTATATTCTTACAATACAGTAAGCTAGAGAAAAGAAAATATTAAGAAAAGCCTAAGAGAAACTATATTTACTCTTCATTAAGTGGAATTGGGTCATTGTAAAGGTCCTCATCCTCATGGTCTTTGTGTTGAACAGGCTGAGCAGGATAGAGAGGAGGATTGGGCCTGCTGTCTCGGGTGGCAGAGGTGGATGGAGGGAAATTCACATATAAGTGGATTTGTATAGTGTTGTCCAAGGGTCAGCAGTATAGTATATATTCTGTATACTATTCCTGACCTGCATAAAGATATCCTTTGTTCTTCATTGTATCTTTAGCATTTTTATACATTATTATTATCATCATTATTTTTATTTCTATTCCTTTTTTGAGATGGAATCTTGCTCTTTTGCCCAGGCTAGAGTGCAGTGGTGCAATCTCAGCTCACTGCAACCTCTGCCTCTTAGGTTCAAGCCATATTCTCCCGTCTCAGCCTCCCAAGTAGCTGGGACAACAGGCACTCACCACGCCCGACTAATTTTTGTATTTTTAGTAAAGATGGGGTTTCAGCGTGTTGACCAGCCTGGTCTCGAACTCCTGAACTCAGGTGATCTGCCTGCCTCAGCCTCCCAAAGTGCTGGGATTACAGGCATGAGCCACCGTGCCCGGCCTCTTATCGTTTTTTTATACAACTAAGTTAAAACACACCCAAAGCAAAGAAGTGTGGGTTTGAGTTTGTTGTATACATCCATACACTGTTTATATAAAATTACTGGCTTTGAGCTTTTCCGAAAACTTGGCTTTTCAAGGTTGGCCTTAAGCTCTAATTGTAGGTACGAATAACAGGGTGAATTGTGGAGAAGGTTTGTTGGAATAGGTGCTACTAGTCAATCGGTACAAAATTCAGCCTGATCAACCTTGACTGCTTCCCGGCCAGTCTTGCTTTCAGACCCTTCTAGAAATGCACTGTGAATACACAGATGATTTTTGGTGCCATCTGGAATTCTGTCATATGCACATGACAAATGGGTAAGTGCCTGTCACCTACACCTTCACAATGAAACTGTAGCAGTGTGATCAGAGAAAAATTAACGTAATTAATGAGGCTGAGCATTTTTTCCTATTGTTTTCCTTTTCTCTGCCCCTTTTGCCCACTTTTCTGCTACTGGTTGATCTTAGAAGTTCTCAGGAGGTTTTTATGTCCTAGAGAAATTAGTCCTTTCTCTGTGGTGTTGCCATAATTACATCATCACAGACTCTTGGCATAGAAAGGAGCACAAGATTTGAAGCCAGAGGGCTAAGAGTTTTTTCTGCTCTGTGGAGTGTGAATAACGTGACTCTGGGGGAAAGTCATGTGATTTCTCCGAGTCACACCTGTAAGTGAATGTAATACTCGCCTTGTAGAGTGGGACTTGGTGGCTGTCAGCCAAACCCAGGCTCTCACCCAGCTCTTCTCTCATCTCTGAGACCTTGGCTTGGCCTTGTGTAGAAGTTTCACGACTCTTTGAGGCTGTTTCTCTTCCTCACGTCAGTGTTTCCCTTCTACACAATTTTTAGTCAGGGTGATTGATTGCTGCTGAAAAAACCCAGCTAAAGTTGTTACTTCCTAATTAAAATGTTCTCCAAGTATTCCATGCAGTTTGCTACGTTAAGAATACCTCTGCGACTGATACTCTAATGTGAATAAGTTGTATTTTCTCCATGTAGACTGAGTATCTTGAGTACATCCCACTAATTTTTTGTGTCTTCACGTTGCGGTACAGTGTGATGTATATACTAGATGGTCCATGGATGCTTGATGAATTAGTTATTTGATAAAAGTGGCCATTAAGCATATTTTTGCTAGTCACCAGACCTTATAGAACGTATTATATCAAGTTTTCTGGAATGAACGTGTGTTGAGAGTCCCCAACACTGCCTCCAGACTTGGTGATTTGCTGGGACTCAGCAAATAGTTGTACTTGTTCATGGCTGTGGTTTTTTACTGTCAAGTATGCAAAGCTTAGTCAGTTAAGAGGGTCAGGCACAGTGGTTCATGCCTGTAACCCCAGCACTTTGGGAGGCTGAGACGGGTGGATCACTTGAGCCTCAGGAGTTCAAGACCAGCCTGACCAAACATGGTGAAACCCTGTCTCTACAAAATATACAAAAATTAGCCAGGCATGGTGGTGGGCGCCTGTAGTCTCAGCTACTCAGGAGGCTGAGGCAGGAGAATCACTTGAACCGGGGAGGCGGAGGCTGCAGTGAGCCAAGATCACACCATCACACTCCAGCCCCGGTGACAGAGCGAAACTCTGTCTCGGGAAAAAAAAAGCCAGACTTTTTTAGAGCAGTTCTGGGTTCACAGCAAAATTGAGTGGAGTTCCGGTATACCCCCTGCCCCCGCACAGGTACAGCCTCCCTCCCTCAGCAGCCCCCGACAGAAGGGTGCACTTAAACTGCAGTTAATGAATATATCGTCATCGTCACCCCAGGTCCACAGTTTGCAATAGAGCCCACTGTTGGTGTTGTGCGTTCTGACAAGTATATAGCGGGATGTAGCACCATCTGAGTATCACACAGTGTAGTTTCATTGCCCTCAAAGTCCTGTGTGTTCTGCCTGTTCATCTCTGTTGGCTTACTTTTTGGATGTGAACTTCAGTTCTTTGTAGAGATTTTCCATTTTATTAAATCAATGTGTTGGGTGACGTGGTGGATACCTGTAGTTCCAGGTTGAGGCAGGAGGGTTGCTTGAGCCCCCAGGAGTTATTTAAGAAGATTAAAAATGCAAAATTGCATTCATTATTTTTCTTTTATTTTCTTTGAATATCACTCTGTCCCCCGGGCTGGAGTGCAGTGGTGCAATCTTGGCTCATTGCAACCTCCGCCTCCCAGGTTCAAGTGGTTCTCCTGCCTCAGCCTCCCGAGTAGCTGGGATTACAGGCATGCACACTACACACCTGGCTAAGTTTTGTATTTTTAGTAGAGACAAGGTTTCACCATGTCGGCCAGGCTGCTGACCTCAAGTGATCTGCCCACCTCAGCCTCCCAAAGTGCTGGGATTATAGACCTATAAGCCTGCTACGCCCAGCTCATTCATTACAATTTAAGGTTTTTGGTAGATAAGGAAATTGTGAATGACCTGGTACTCTGTGGCTTAAGGTCGGAGAGTCATCTAAATAGCTTTCCAAGAATTTCAAGAGTTGCTAATCTTAGGTAGAAAAGGTTTCTTTCCTCATCAACTCTTCGGGGAAAACAGTTGACACTAATTAATATCCGATTCCTTAGCAGCTGGGATTTGGGGAGTTCTGCATTTTAAACTGTTGGTGAGAATATCATAGAATTTTCTAACCTTTTTACCTACGGCTATCTTTAACATCTTTTAAGTAATCAAAAGAAATTTGAACTTGGGCCGGGCTCGGTGGCTCACACCTGTAATCCCAGCACTTTGGGAGGCCGAGGCGGGTGGATCACGAGGTCAAGAGATCGAGACCATCCTGGTCAACATGGTGAAACCCCGTCTCTACTAAAAATACAAAAAATCAGCTGGGCATGGTGGCGCGTGGCTGTAATCCCAGCTACTCAGGAGGCTGAGGCAGGAGAATTGCCTGAACCCAGGAGGCGGAGGTTGTGGTGAGCCGAGATCGCGCCATTGCACTCCAGCCTGGGTAACAAGAGCGAAACTCCCTCTCAAAAAAAAAAGAAATTTGAACTTGAGCTTGTAGTAGTTGAGAAAGCAGAAACTTGAATTTTGTTTTTAAGCAGAACATATAACTCTGGGGAATAAAAGCTGAAACCTTCTACGTTTTCCCACAGCCATGACAGTAAATTTGGGTACCACGTTTACAAGTGTCACATTTGTAGAAACAGTTTATTAACTGGGCGTGGTTGGAGGCTGAGGTGGGAGGATCTCCTGAGCTTGAGTTGAGGCTGCAGTGAGCTATGAACTCGCCACTTCTCTCTAGCCTGAACAACGGAGTGAGACCCTATTTCTTTTCCTTTTTTTTTTTTAAAGACGAAGGCTGGGCATGATGGCTCATGCCTGTAATCCCATCACTTTGGGCGGCCAAGGCTAGAGCGTCACTTGTGCTCAGGAGTTTGCGACCAGCCTGGACAACGTAGGGAGACCCTGGTCCCTGCAAAAATACAACAAGTAGCTGTGTGGTGGTGGGCGCCTGTAGTCCCAGCTTCTCTGGAGGCCGAGGCACAGGAGTTTGTGGCGTGACTGCAGTGAGCTGTGATTTCACCACTGTACTCCAGCCAGGGCAACAGAGTGAGACCCTATCTCTATTTAAAAAACAACAAATTTAATGACTGTTTTGAAAAATGTTACCTCCCTTCCCAAATGATACAGATCCCATATCTTCCCACATTGAATAGTTATTCTGCCTTGATTAAATCTTTTTAGACACTATTAGAATAACTTTTCTTCTTTTAAAAAGTTATCTTTGCCGGGCGCGGTGGCTCAAGCCTGTAATCCCAGCACTTTGGGAGGCCGAGGCGGGTGGATCACGAGGTCAAGAGATCGAGACCATCCTGGTCAACATGGTGAAACCCCGTCTCTACTAAAACTACAAAAAATTAGCTGGGCATGGTGGTGCGTGCCTGTAATCCCAGCTACTCAGGAGGCTGAGGCAGGAGAATTGCCTGAACCCAGGAGGGCGGAGGTTGCGGTGAGCCGAGATGGAGCCATTGCACTCCAGCCTGGGTAAAAAAAGCGGAAATCCCTCTCTCAAAAAATAAAAAAAAAAAAAAAATGTTACCTTTTCACCTTTAAAACTAGTATGGTGAGGGTCTCTTATTTTAATTTAAAAATAACAGATTAATTCTCATGTAAGTAATTTTGATCTAAAGGTTAAATAATTTTTTAAAATTCTGATTTAAGGTGTTCAGAACAACCTTTCTTTTGAGCAGACTTTTTAGAGCTAAAGGGTTTCCCTCTAACTTAGTTTTTCACTGGCAGAGAACATCTGGACGTGTTCCAAATGTGGTCGAGCTACTGTATCTACAGGTGATACTGGCATTTCATAATCTGCTTGTTCCAATTTGTCTGCGGACAACTAGGCAGACTTTACATAGGTACAGATCGCCACTCTGGGCTCTGCAGGGAGACTTCATCTGAAGCAGGAAGCGCTCCCCCCAGGACTGGTGAGGTAATTTGAGCTCTAAATAGCTCTTGGCCCTTGAAATAAGGACAGCATGATTTAGGGGAAAGGCCAGAACTTGATCTCTGTGGCCTTCGGTACAATGGCCTCTCCTTGCACTGGAGGCAGTCATGAGGCCCGCACTGCGGGGGCTTGTCTTCAGCGTCCACACACTTGGGGAGGTATGCCAGACACTGGTGCCAGCAGCGCCCAAGGGCTCAGATCCTTCCAAAGCCAAGTCTGAGCGTTTTTTTTTCAGGCTGTATGGGACTAGGGTTTTTGGAAAGGAAGTGATGTGAGGCAGCTAAGGCAGTTTCCGCTTAAAATAGAGAAGAGGGTGAAACGGAGAAGAGACACTCAATACAGGAAGATGAGCTGGGAGATCGATAGGTAGGAAACGTAGACGTCCCCTGTGGTGAGAACTAAAATGAAGGAAAATTATTCAGGGTATTCTTAAAACTAGTTCCTTGCATTTCTGTAGCATTTTCCTTTTTCAAGAAGACTTTGCTGGGCACAGTGGCTCTCACCTGTAATCCCAGCACTCTTGAGAGGCCAAGGCGGGAGGATCCCTTGAACTGAGGGGTTTGAGACCAGCCTGGGCAACATAATGAGACCTTGTCTGTACTAAAAATTTTAAGATGGCTGGATGCAGCAGCCACACCTATAATCCTAGCACTTTGGGAGGCTGAGGTAGGTGGGTTGCTTGAGGCCAGGAGTTCAAAACCAGCCTAGGCAACATGGCAAGACCCTGTCTCTACAGAAAAATAGAAAAATTAGCTGGGTGTGGTGGCATGTGCCTTTGTCCCAGGCGCTCAGGAGGCTAAGGTAGGAGGATCACTTGAAGCCCTGGGAGGCTGAGGTTGCAGTGAGCTAAGTTGGTGCCACTGCACTCCAGCTGAGGAGACAGAGTAAGACCTTGTCTCAAAGAAAAAAATAAGTCAGCCATAGGCTGGGCACTGTGGCTCACACCTGTAGTCCCAGCACTTAGGGAGGCTGAGCTGGGTGGATCACTTGAGGCCAGAAGTTTGAGACCAGCCTGGCAAACATGGCAAAACCCCATCTTTACTAAAAATACAAAAATTAGCCAGGCATGGTGGCATATGCCTATAATCCCAGGTACTCGGGAGGCTGAGGCATGAGAATTATTTGAGCCTGGGAGGAGGTTGTCATGAGCCAAGATTGTGCCTTGAACTTCAGCCTGAGCGACAGAGTGAGACCATGTCTTTTTGAAAGTCTATCTGCTCCCCCTGCACCCCCCCAAAAAAAAGGTAGAAATCAGCCATGCATGATGGTGCACACCTGTAGTCCCAGCTACTCTAGAGACTGAGGAGTGAGGGTTGCAGTGAGCCATGATTGTGCCTCAGCACTTCAGCTTGGGTAACAGAGTGAGACCAGGTCTCAAAAAGAGAAAAAGACTTTCTTATTTGTGTGATATACCTGTATACCTTATGAAAGAGGCAGAAATCCCCGTTGTGCAGATAAGAAAACCAAAGTCCAGAGAAATGAAGTGGCTTGTCCCCAAGATTGCCTAGGAAATGATGGAACTGGGAAAAGCCCAGTCTTTTAGTTGTTTGTGGACACAGCAGGAGTGACAGCGGTCTGCTGGATGACAGATAGTGCACGAGGTGCCTGTATTTATTCATGCAGGAGCAGAAGTGTTTGCAGAAGGGCGAGGCACAGGAGGTGGTAGAGCAGAGCATCGCTTTCCTGGCTTCCTTCTGCTCTGAGCTCACCCCTAGTCTTCCCCTCTTTTGAGTCTGTTACACTGAGGGCACAGCTGGTACGGGTAACATTGTTCTCCAGCATTAAAACAGAGCATCAATAATGTCTAGGAAAAAGTTAACTTTAAAAACACTGCTAATCAGTTTAGGGAATATTTGAGTGTAAACCATTTGCTAATCAGTTCATTCAAAAAATGAATTGCCTGCCTTAAACTAATAAGAATGATTTGGTTCATGTTTTGATTCAATTATCTCTGAGTAGATGCTGCTTGAATTAGTGACTATATCCAGTTTTGCCAAGCATACCCCCATTTATAATTTAAAGCATTTTTTTTATAGAGATGGGGTCTTGTTATGTTGGCCAGGCTGATCTTGAACTCCTGGCCTCAAGCAGTCCTCCCCACTTGGTCTCTCAAAGTACTGGGATTACAGGCATGTACTAATGTACTGAACATAAATGATTCAAACGTAGGGGGAAAAAGACTCCTGGTAGCTCAGTCCCCCCATTCCCCAGGAGTTTAGTACGGGGCTGTCCAGTCTTTTGGCTTCCCTAGGCCACATTAGAAGAAGAATTGTCTTGGGCCACACATAAAATACACTAACACTAATTGATGAGCTAAATTTTTTTTTTTTCCCCACAAAAAATCTGTTATTTTTAATTTTTTTTGAGTCGGAGTCTGTCACCCAGGCTGGAGTGCAATGGCTCAATCTCAGCTCACTGCAGCCTCCACCCACCCCCACCCCCCTACCAAAAATCAAGAGATTCTCCAGCCTCAGCCTCCCGAGTAGCTGGGATTACTGGCTCCCACCACCTCGCCCAGCTAATTTTTGTATTTTCAGTAGAGACCAGGGTTTCTGACCTCATGATCCACCCACCCTGGCCTCTCAAAGTGCTGAGATTACAGGCGTGAGCCACCACACCCGGCCAAAAATCTCAGTGTTTTAAGAAAGTTTACAGATGTGTGTTGGGCTGCATGCATCCCGTGGGCCATGGGTTGGTCAATCTTAGTTTAGTAGATCTTTTTGGATTCTATCTCCCTACCCTTGGTATCTGTATGTAATATAATGTTATACAGATGCTGTGGTTCATCTACACAGGGAACAGTGGGGACTTGGGACAGGGAGTAACCACTTTTCTTCTTTCCCCATCCCCAGTCAGTTGGTGTATGCCGTTAGTCCCAGCTCCTCAGTAGGCAGAGGTGGGAGAATCATCTGAGCCTGGGGAGGTTGAGGCTGCAGTGAGCTGTGATCATGCCGCTGCACTCCAGGCTGGGCGATAGAATGAGAGACCCTGTCTCAAAAAATAAGAATGTATTTCATATGGTTGTCAAATACTTAATGTAATAATATATTATTCTGATACTGTAGAAATCAGGTAAATAAAGTTAGTATTATTGGCTGAATTTTATTATAAGCAGTTATTTGTAGTCATAAAAATATGCAACATTGGTTTGATATGCCACTTTAGTTTTCTTTTCTTTTTTTTTTTTTTTTTT